GAAATAGTAACACCGAAAAGCTCTTATTGCTGACTGAATAGTACAGTATCTACCATTCGTCTTCCGAGTCAAATTCAGGCTCGTCCTTACTCTCCTTCAAGTTGGCAGCTTTAGACTCGCCACCGTCATTTCCCTTGTCGTGGTCAATGGCCGCCTCGGAAACGCAACCTGATGGTCTGCATTCAGGCCTTTTTGTTGGCATCCCCTTGTAGTTCCAATGACGTTTGATCTCTTTAACAGTCTTGTCACCGGCGCAGTTCGCATTTTCAGCACGAGCTTCCGACAGTTTGGATTGAGGCGACAAAAGGTTGGCTACGGCACCACCTTGCTTCATTTCGGTCTTCTCTGGCTCTCCACGTATGTGTTGCTTTTTGGTCGTGGCGGGTAAGTCCCATCCACTGCCGAGTTGCTGCATAACCCTTTGCATTCTTGGTGAATCTTGTGTAGGGCGGCTTGCTTTTGCAAAGCGTGTTGGCGCTTCCAGATATCGATCTGGGCCTTGCTGTGATATTGGTTTCGTCTGCGAGTCATCTGGGGGTTCTTAGCAAGGGCAGGAAAGTGTTGGTGCGGAAGAAATATACCTTGTAGGAGCGTTGGTTTTCAGAGTGAGGATGGATAGCAAAAAAAGTGGTGCGGAGTTCGCTATTTACGCAGACCTGGGGGCCACAGGCGTGTTGGGCCACCGCGTCCATAGGCTTACCACAAGGGCTGAGATGCCCGACTGTGCCATTGAACGGTCGGTAAGTTGTATATAAAATCTTCCTGATTCCACTGGCTGATACCCCCATCACGCTCTTTCTAGCAGGAAATGTGATTGTGCTAAATCTTGCTTGAACAACGCAATCAGAAGCCGTCACTCGGTAGTGGTGTGTCCGAGTGACCGATGCGACACCTCGCCCCTCGACACTACTGTCAAGAACTCTTCCTGAGTCAGAACTTATATATATCGGTGAATTCAATTACTGTCTCCTCCAATGCAAATCTTCAAGTTGTCAGCTTGCTTAGTGACGAGCAGTCGAAGCAATTCGGAAAGTAGGAAAAAGGTTAGAGGAATCATCCGTGAAGCTATTCTGTGAATCACTCGTTACGGTATAGGTTATGCCTTCTGAATTGAGATTCTCATGTAGACGGGTGGTCGGAGACAAAAACCAGAACGTTTTGCTCTATTGAATCATTGCAAATTTGCTGTCTTCAGTGGTAGAAGTTCCGTGGCCGCAACAAAACATAGCTCTACATATTTGCCATTGCGGGATAGCCAGCGCTTGAGAGGATATTTTAAGTGATTCTCTCAGTGAAGTACGTGCTTTGGATGTCGTGGTTGGGGTGTTAACTGTGCGTTGCGATGACAAGAAGCCTTTTCCTGTTATATAGGGGTTTGAAATCGTATACAACTTGAAGTCGGCCGCGTGCAGGCAGTTGGTACTACGCTCGAGACTAGAAACACAAAATCAACACCAGAGATTGTGCCCTAGAGTCACTGTCAAGTTCGAATTCGCCCACCAAGGGTCCGTTCGGCATGCGTGCAGTTGATAAAAATGTTTGAACTATGTTCCAAAACGCTATGTTCAACAGTGCAATCTATCCGTTCGGCAGCCATTTTCTGTTTGTTACATTTTTTGAATTCAAAAATTAGTACTATATGCAAGTCATAAAAGCACCTGGCTGCCGAACCGTCCCTAACACTGCGTCCGCAGTTGCAACGACACAATCCAAACCACACATTTCACAATCATGCCACTGGGCAACTGAGCAACTGTCAAATTCCAATACGCTTGTTGGTTAATACTCAGCACGCGGTTGGAATCAGACAATCTACACGACGGAACCCACGACTTTGCCTCTGAGCACCTACACAACATGCCGAACAATCGGAAGGGCAAGGGGAAGCAAGGGGGCACTGCCCCACCATCGACCACAAGCGCAGCCACGCAGACAGCGTCAAACACAACAGCAGGCACGCAGACAGACGCAGTGGTAGGCCAACAATCGGCCGGTCCGGTGGACCCTCCACCCGTGGGACCACCCGTGGAACATGTACACGAGGTACAGACCACGTCGAAACTACGAATATATGGTATCTCTCAATATACCATTACTGTTTGCCGGCACTGTGATGTACGTACGTTGGAGCATCAGCTCCAACAAGTGGTCGATTCGGAGGATTCACGAAAGTGGCATGTCTGCAAAGGTCTGTCGGTGGCATTCGCAATTCTGTTGCTGGTCTTATGGGCCGTATATGGGTCGACGGACATACGAGCGGAGATTCCGAAAGGAATCGTCGGTATGACATCTGTCGTTTTGTTTCTCAAGCTGTCCTAACAAACACCTAGTCAGTGTTCTATCCGCAATCTTCGCGACAACTTTTGTGTTTGGTTTTCTGAAATAGGAGTTTTCGGATTCACTTTTTTTCTCCTGAATTGTTGTTTGCAATGTTAAATTTTTACCAATTCTATGCCTTCTTCGTGAAATGCAAAGTGAGACCCCGTAATACCTACCCCACGTTTACAACCGTAGCTTTAAGGCCGATGGTAGCTGTATCAACAATGCCATTGCTGATTGCCTTGCATATCTGCGCCACAAACGCTGCATACCCACCTACCCACCTCCAACTTCCAGTCGGTACCCTGTCACCAGCGTTGCGGATTGCGGTCACGTCAGCCCTAGCCAGCCGATCTGACTGTGATCCTCACACGATCGATCCAGAAATACAAGCTTCTTGCGACGAGCTAGCTGTGGTGGTACGGTGCTGTAGTCTGCTAAAACTTGGCACTTGGATACGTCGAGTCGAGTAGGGTTGAGGTATACCTACGTACATGGGTAGCTGTCGCAGCCTCGGAGGTTACCTTGGGGGGGCACTCTGGGCCACGTTTCGACCCTGGCTAGGTAATCGCACTTGTAATCGATTAATTCCAGGTTGACATGTGTATATTATAGAGTAGGAAGAGTAGTAGGTAGTTCCAGATTCCATGTGTAACCGCGCGCCGGTCAGCCCTGTCGTATCCAACCCCTCTTGTCTACTATCACATGCTTTCGCGGCGCCTACACGATTATCTGACACCGCGGCTGAAAATCCGGCGAGCGTAGAGTACACGGCGCGTGTTTGTATGCAGTGACATGTAGAGTAAGCTTTCGACCGTTACTCCAGCCGAACGTGACGGACACTACCTACTCTCCACGTCTCGCCTATTTCCCAAAGCCCTCCTCTTCCCCAGCCAGCGCTACGTAGCGACGCAGCAATTCGTGGACATTCTTGAAAGTTGAGCCCCTATGTATGTATTATCAAGGACGTGTCATGAAACCATGACGAGCGTCGCCTCAAAAACCGGATCTCGTCGCGCCCACAGAGGCTGCGCCAAGACAGCCACAGGCATTATGTAACCCCTACCCATGCGCATGTGCAATGACCACTGGCCGCCGATCATCGGGCGCAGCACACCCCGGTGGGCTGTACGTAAAACGGGATTGCAGTGGCTCGCGCTGAGTCAGCACAGCTGGGACTGGGACTCAGCTGGGGCGCAGCTGCAGTGGGATATATACCCCCCTCCCCCCCACCACGGCGGGAGTGTTTCGTTCTGTTACATACGTTTTACATTGCGGGATCGTACGTCCACCTTACATCCATATCGACCTCACATCACCTACATCACCTACAGTAGCTACAGCAGCGACAGCTCCTACAGCTCCATCCACAGCTCCACAGCTAGCTCATCCACAACGCATCGTCCCCCCACCACGTCATCCACCCTCTCGACCACCAAACCACCTCCAACTCCCATCACCAAACCCACACAGCAGCAATGCCGCACTTCGCCCCTCCCACCCTCTCCCACCTCATGCGGCCCCTCGCAAGCACGCCCGTCGCCGGCCTCTTCCGCGCGCGGTACAAGGGCGCCGACCTGGACGACGACCCGGAGGCGCAGGCGCTGCGCACCGTGCGCACCGTGTTTGTGGTTGCAGCCGCGACGGTGGTGCTCGTAGGGGTGTGGCTGGTCTAGACGTTGCCTTCGGTTCTGTTGGAGCTACATGGGAGCTTAGAAGCTGGGAGTCGGGTAGAGCGGACGGGCGGGAGGATGCTGGGATCAAGCGAGGTGGAACGACGCAGTGGGGCGAGTGGATATCGCGGCGGTCGCGGGTAAAGGCTCGGGAGATGTGGATTCTCCAGAGAGGAGGCTCTGGAGCTTGCGATTTTTGGAATTTTTGATTTTGGGACGGTTGGCTTTGCACTGGGTTAGGATTGAATTGGCGTGAGCGCGGCGTTCGGTTGTTTTAAATTTGTGGGATTTGCGGGATAGAGGGATCGATTGTACTCAATTGGCTTTGTGTTGTTTTGCGGAATATGAATGCACATTATCAAACTAAAAGAGGAGCATGTGAACGTGCGACGTCGCCTTGCTGATCGCTGGGTTCAAGCTACCCAATACAGCGCAGGATATATTACTGCGTGCCGGGCCGCTGTCAACGCACTCCATGCAGTGCCAGTGCCGTGCTAAGTGGTCCACACTCCGTCTACTCTACATCCTGTGGCTCGACCTCCAATTCCACTCGTCGCATGCGCACAACCCTCCTTCTCGACAACCCGCCGTCGTGTTCGTGAAAGAACGAATACGTCGTCATTTCTGGTATCGACTGCACGCCGGTGTTTCCCGGACTTATGCTCGGACTGTGGCGGCACGCCGGGCTGCCGTGTGGGTGCACGTGCCCGGACCGCGCGTGCACGTGGGGCGGAGTGTATCGTTCTAGAAGCTTGAGCAACGATCTGTCGCGGCTGGGCAAAACTAGCACAGCGTTCGAGATTGTGATTTTGGGCTTGGAATATTCACACCTGGCACGCGGTGCGATCTAGACTCGAAGCGGAGCAGGTCCAACATGCGTCGTATCGTACGAGTACAAGCCGTTAATCAAACCTTCTTTCGACATCTTGTGTTTGTTCAACACGCAGAGCCGCAACAAAAGGGATTCGGATTGGTAGACAGACGGCAGGACGGTGGGCAAAAGTATATTGCCGGAAGTGAGGTTCGAACTCACGCATCTTTCGATAATGCATCTTAAGTGCACCGCCTTAGACCACTCGGCCATCCCGGCTTGTGGACTGTGGCGGGCGGGCGTAATATGACCCGGTCGGGGCGATGTGGGGTTGGGAGTTGGGGAAAGCGGATGAGGACGCTTGACGTCGACCGGATTTGGATATGAATGTTGAAACTGTCGCGAGGTATATCTCGCTAATCTCTTACGCGTTGTCGAAGCTAAATCATCATCTAGTGATACGGCCAATGTCAGTATCGACCCAGCACTCAGTCTGCGGTGGTATCCTTCTAGCTATCTGTCTGTCAAGAAAACTTCCCCGAGACTGGCGCGATATGGACTGTACCATAGGTGCGAGCAAAGCGTCACGACGTTTGCTAGACAAAACTGGATGTCGTTGATGCGTTCAGGCAAATCTCTCAAACGTGGATTCGCCCATGATTCAATTTTATTTGACCTCAAGGGCACGTTTCGACTTCTCCGATCCATACCGTTCAAGAACTACCACTATATCGGGATCCACGGCCACTCTGCCATCGTGCCTCGACAAAAGTGTGATGCCCACAACCACCGTTTTGTGAAACCCTCGGCCCCACCCGCCAGCCATGCATTTCGCCGCGCGCCAGCTCCACGCCATCCCGAACGTCCGGAACCACCGTCTTCGACCCGTCCGCCCTTCCGTACATGGTTCTTGGAAACCTTCGCTGTATGCGTCCAGTTCGTCATGCAGCAGCTCGCGCCAGATAGATGTGCGCTGCACGGCACGAGTTGTCAAGGGGCACTGTGGATGGCAGGAAGAGGCGGGCGGGTTCTTGCGTTTGTTTTGTTATGTTTGTGCAGGAGGAGGAGGGCGCCAGGAAAGGTGGACTGCTAGCTGGATAGTTTGTGATGTGGCGTGAATTTTTCTTTGTGATGAGTAAATAGAGGGGAAGAGTATCTGATAGACTGCGTGATCTGCATATCATGAAGACCTACACGATCCTTATTCAAAAACGATGATTTTGTTAGAGGTGCAACTTTAGCAGCGATAATCACTCGGTTCTGGATTCAAGTTTGCGTAGGTTTCATGTCACTGCTAACCTTTTATCTGTCGGAACACACCTGCTCATGTAACAAATACAACAACAATTATCTACTATCCTCCTCTGCCTGACGGTGACTCTCTCTCTTGAAACAGTTTCGTTCCTCCTCTTCCCAATGTGTGAGTAGCGCTACTGCAAACCGATTTGGCGATGCAGTGTGAAGAGTTCTCCCAGAGACGACGCGACAAGCTAAGCCCAGAAGAGTGGCAGAAAACTTCAGCCCACACTGGGCATCCGAGAGAATCCAGTAACGCATAGTGGCCTATGCAGCTTTGTCGATGTTACTCAAATCCATCAGCCGATCACAGGAAGGGGGCTGGCACGGTGGACAAAGATACGAAGTGTGTATTTGATCGACCTTGGCGGCGACTTTGGTTCAAGATCTGATGAGCAGTAGGATACCTACCGACGGTGATAGTGTTGCACAAGTTCGCATCGTGGATTTTGGCCGACACGCACAGGACAGAATGCAGAGTTTTCAAAAACGTTGCCGACGATCAGGCCGGCCCTGCCGTTTTTCGCAGTATTTGCCCGCTCAGTTTAAGTACACAACGGGATGAATTCATTCTCAGCCCTGCGATTTGGGAATAATCGTCTCATCAGATACCAACAAGCAAGCCTAACGAAATGCAGCCCAGATTCGTACCCCGTTCACACCGCATCACGCAGCCCTCACATCTTGGCTTCCCTCTCCGTCCCCGCCAAACATCTACGCAAACAGCTTATAATATATCAAGCCGCACCAACCACCCTCCACCTGTATTCGCACCGTTCATTCACACCGTTTTCATCCTACCGACCACTCTGAATTTTGAAAATGACCACCACAACTTCGAACGAGAATACTCTGGCCGCCGTGGAGACCACGACCGCCCTCTTCATCAACCAACCCGCGCCCGCACCCGCGCCTGCGCCCTCCACCACACCCTCCCCCGCCGCAAACCCCTGGCGCCTCTCAACCGGGTCCTCCACCGGCAGCCACGTCTCCGCGACACTATCGAGCATGGGCATCTACGACCTGCGCGCCCAAGGCTACATGACCGCCTTCGACGCGCGTCCATGCCCCTCCATCACCTCCGTCGCCTCCTCCTGGACCGTCCCGTCGTCGCGGTCCGCCGCGTCGCTGCCACCATTCACCGGGACCACCGCGTCCATCCCCTCCACCGCCAATTCCCACGCCGACGATGACGCCGACGCCGCGCTCACGCCGGAGCAAATCGCGCACTGTGCGGCGTACGACGCGCACCAGCGCTTCATGGTCGCGATGCGGCGCCGCGTCGAGGCGGCGGACGCGGCGGCGGCGCGGGCGTATGCGTTCGATACGTATTTCTGGGTTGCGGTGGTGGCGCTGGTGCTGCTGGCTGCGTTCGTGCCCGCGGTGGTGTGTGCGGCTGTGCTTGGCGGTGTGGGGAGGTGGGGGGTGGTGAGTGTGGGTGTTGCGGTGCTGCCGGTGGGCCTTGTGGTGGGTTGGGCGGTGGCGGGGAAGAGGAGGGAGATTGGGAGGGTTTTGGGCTTGTGGGATGGGACGTGGAGGGGGAGGTGGGGGAGGGAGAAGAGGGAGAGGGACTTGGAGAAGGGGGAGGGGGGCGGGGGATAGAGGCGTATAGGTCGGGATTGGGGGGGTTGTGTTTGTTTTTGTTTGTACGTACACTTCTGGTGTACTAGGCCGCGGGCCTTTAATTTGTAAAACCAAAAAATACCAAAAACAAATGGTTGAAACTCCTACTCAATGAGAATGCCAGACGACAATTCGTGAAGAAAGTCGTTGTAGCAACGATACTAGATTAGCTCTGTATAACTGGAGAACGCCTGCGGAATATCGTCAGCATCGGACGTGTCGCCGCCGAACAGAAATCGTCGTGATTCCGGTCAACATCTGGAAAACGTTTGGATATCTCATAAAGGTTCAAAAGACGGTCCGAAAAAGCGTTTTATCAAAATGAAGAATGAATTCTATACGTCCTAACAAACCACCAGACCACCGCACTCTCTACCATGGAATACCTTGGCCAGTACCCATTCGCAAAGCCAAGCCTGTGTCTCATCGTCCAGCCCAACTCCAGGTATTGTTTTTCCCCGCAGTTACATTCTCCGGAAACCACTATCGTTATGACCAAGGCGTTCCCGTGTATCCACTTTCTGGATTCATAGTCCGTGCCGATCTGTGACAGTTTCTTGGACACCTCTCCCACTTCGTAGGAGCCTCCGGTATGCTGTACCGGATCCTATCAGCTTCAGCCTGAAATGCGACTTCCGGTCATGTTTATGTTCCGTTGCCCAACAACAGGCCGTGAAACTGACTTCCTCGAGAGATGTTTCCCCCGGTGCCACTTGCCTTGCAGTGTTGGCTCTTCTTCCTCTGCGATTGTTCGCCATTGGGACTCGGGAGTGAGTGATTCCTTGTGTCCCAGGAGCGCAGAAGTAAGTTGCCTAGTGGCATGGTTTCGCACCTGGCGGTGGTGGATGTGCGTTTCGGGTTCGGACGCAGTACTATGGCTGAGGAGTGCCAGTAGGAGACCTGTCGATATTGCTGTGTGGCACGATTGCAGAACAGGCGGAGGCTGCACATTTTTGCTCGAATGCGTGTCTGAGCGTACCAGAGCGGATCGGCTAGTTCCTCCAAGAGCGCAGTTGCCCAGTGGCATGGTTTCGCACGAGGCGGTGTTGAGTGTGGGATTCCAGTCTGGGACCGAATAAGCACAGCTATATGAAGGACAGTAGAAATCAAGGAGCCCACCATTCAACATCGCCATAGTATTAGCTCTACTTACTTTATCAATTCATCTTTTACGACGAGCTTAGCCCTGTCAACTTGACTTCTTACCAGATGTCGTGCCTCATGACTGCCTCTCATATCTAAGCCCAGTTAACCCCTCGTCCCCTGGCACACAAGGTATGGTGTTTGGACTTAGCAGAAAACGAAGATTTCCATCGGGCGTGCATGAACCAAAAGACTAGAAGGTAAATTTCGGGGAATAGAAAGCCGTCAGGAGGTTTGAGAAGAAGATGGGGAAAGGGAACAAAAGGTAGAAAGGTATCGCGTCGTACTTGGTAGAAATTGATAGACAATGAAGTTTAATAATAAAGGAATGCTGCCTTCTTCGCTTTTAAATGCGTTTTGAATGGTATCTTCAAGTTCTTTATTCAAACGTTAGTTATGAATCTCAAAGTTTGATGTTCAGGGACAAGGAACCGTGCCTTTTGATATGCATTATATTCTCTTCGTTCCGTATTCTAGAATCACGCTCCAGGGAGCTTCGAACACCGTTCCCACGGGTTTCACGTCGATCCTTATTCTTGTTCATGAGAAATACGGTTCCTCACGACTTTATCTTCTCTTATTTGTGAGATCCGTGACTAGAAATCGCCTCCTCGAGTTCCGCTTGTTAGAGTGTGCAATCCTGCATCATCGACAGTTCGGTTTTGTTAATGCGGATTCGGATCTCCTGGAGTCTCATCGCTCTTGTAAAAGTTTATGACTTTATCAAATGTGGAGGAGAAGGTTTAGGAGAGTTATTAAGTTTGTACCGGCTTATCATTGATTGAGTAAGTACAGCACTTGTTAGCAGAAGGAGAAGTTTCAATAAAGAATATAAAAGGGAGAGAGAGCAAGAAATGAACAAGAGGAGTCTTCGTTGAGCCATGAGGCTACATTCGGTCTAGAAGCCAAATCGTTACATGTAACAACCGAGTGATCGTGGTGCAGAATCGCACACTACAACAGCCCTTATTTCTGCTCTTCTCTTCCCATCCTGTACACCTAACTCTCAATGACAAAAACATGTGTTCACCAGCAACGGGAATTAATGTACTACGGCACTCACACTTTGCAATGCGGATAAACATAAAACTGACACCCTTGCGGACGTTTGCAAAATGACAGAGATAGCATTGAATCATCGCACTATTCAAGTTACCACCAGTACAAGCCAGTGCCGGTCGTGCCGAAAACAAACCTATAAAGCCTTTCAAAATGAT